GAGCTGGAGCGCAGCTGGGCCAAAGAAGCTGGAACTGGAGTGCACTGGGCCGAAGAAGGAGGAGCTGGAGTGCGCTGGGCCAAAGAAGGAGGAGCTAAAGCGCCTCTGGGCCAAAGAAGCTGGAACTGGAGTGCGCTGGACTGAGGAAGGAGGAGCTGGGGCGCCACTGGGCCAAAGAAGCTGGAACTGGAGTGCGCTGGGCTGAAGTTGCTGGCGCCAAGTCAGCTGGAGTCTGAGCACTGGCCAAGGCAAAGCCGCTGGAGCCAGGGGTGGCAGGGGCCAGTCAAGCCAAAGGAGTTGGGGGCTGGGCATGGTCCAGCTGAAGGAGCTAGGGCTGTGGCACAGGGAAGCCAGGGAGGCTGGGGCCGTGGCTTAGTTCAGCCAGAGCAGCTGGGGCTGTGGCATGGTGGGGCCTGAGCTGCCGCTGCCTCTGGTGCAGGGACACAGGCTTGCCCTGCTGCTGGTCGGGCCCAGGCGCCTGGGGGCCGCTGCCTGTGGGGGTGAAGTGGTCACACTGCCCCTGCTGGTGGGGCCCAGGCGCCTGGGGGCTGCTGCCTCAGGGGACGGGGCTGAGCTGAAGCGCCAGTCTGGCGGGCCGGGTGGGGGAGGGGCGCTTACTTTCCCCTCCCCAATCCGAGAGGTTTCTCACCTGGCTGTCGCTCTCTGCTCTCCTGAGGGGCTAGCTTGTTTAAACTACCCTCGCAACAGTTCCACTCCCTCCCTGGGGGGATCCCCTCGGGCTGTGAGGGGTCTTGGAGAGCACAGGTTTTCATGCTGTGAGCCGCCCCTCCCCCTCCTCTGAGAGCCGCGTGGTCTCAGTCTCTGGGTCGCAGTCCTCGGGGAAGGAAAGGAGCTCCTCTTACCTCCTTCCACTTCCTCTGGGGATTCCAGCACCTTCATCCTTGGGTGTATGGCTGCCTGGGTGCCTCAGATGTCCCCTGTGTTGTGTGAATAGCTTCTGTTGGAATATGAATGTCCTTTTTGTCTTAGAGGGGGAGAGTTCCAAGGGGGAAGCTCACTCCGCCACAATGCTGATGTCACTCTCGAAAATGAACTATTTTTTGAAGCCAAACAGATGTAACAGCCATTACGCGCCTGTATAAGGACCGTCTGCTCAGCCAGAGCTCACTGCTCCCGACCATGTTTTACACTGTACGATGTGTTCCCGTGTGTGGGTTCCTTGTCTCCATATTTTAACAGTGGCTTAGAGCCGAGAGCATCCTAAGTAGACTAAAAGGGCAGTGTCAGTTACTAAATACTGGAAATTCATATAGACAGTTTGGGGTGAGTGCTGGAGGGAAGAGGTTAAATAACACCGTGGGCAGGGCAGAGGGCACAGTGTCATGAGCACGGATGTGATTGCCGAGCCAGCAGATTTGCTTTTTGACCTTGTCAATCATGAATACTCAGACAAGTTTTATTTATGGTCTGGAAAGTCTATGTGCACACATCCCTATAGCTGCGTGTCCTTCATGGCAGGAGAAAAGGGGAAGGGGGACGTGCTCCTGAGATCTATGGTGCTTCTTCTAGGCTCTTATCCTTTGTGTGCATGCATCTACGTGTTTAACATGTACTGGTTATGGGATAAGTGTGCCAGTGTCACATGGCATAAGCACCAGTAACATTTATTATAGTCCCTCTTGCCAGTTACTCTGGTAGCTCAAAATTACTGTGTAACAATCAAAATTGGTACTCCTGATGGTTTCCCATTTTGTTATATCTGTTAACACCAACATTTGACATAGTCATTGTTCTCTGCATTTCTTCAAGCTTCCTTTATTTTCTCTTGATTCCTTAAGTTTAAGATTAGGATTTATAGTAGATCTGAAAAGTTTTCATCACAAGAGAAAAAAAGACAAAAAGAATTTGTAACTTTATGTGGTGATGGGTGTTAACTAAGCCTATTGTGGTAATCATTTCATAACGTATAAATATATCAAATCATTATGTTGTGCACCTGAAACTAATACAATGTTATATGTCAATTATATCTCAATTTTTTAAGAAATAAAAATTTTTGTTATAAACCTATGTTACCGCAATAAACAAAAAAAGAAAAGAAAAAAAAAGAAAAATTTTTTAAAATCAGGATTTATAACTACATAAACTCTAGGATTTGTAGAATGCTAGAATCACAAATTCTTAACAGATGAGAAAACAACGTCACCGCTGTGAGAATGTTTATCATACTTATGTCCTTTAGGTGAATGAAACAGAAGTGGACTTTGCAAAGCGTTCATTATTCATTCGACACCCTGAGATGAAAACCTGGCCTTCCAGCCATAATTGGTTCTTCGCTAAGTTGAATATAACCAATATCTGGGTCGTGGACTACTTTGGTGGACCAAAAATAGTGACACCTGAAGAATATTACAATGTCACGTTTCAGTAAGTATTTATACATCTTCCACCTTTCTAATAGTGCAGCCCTTCAGTGGTCCTCAACCTTCTTAAGCAAGGGGGGTCTTAACCATTGCATGTACCATGGACCCCTTTGGCAGGCTGGTAAAGCCGATGACCACCCTCAGAATAATTTTTAAATGCATAAAATACATAGGATTACAAAGGAAACCAGCTATATTGAAATGTATTTATAAAAATATTTTTTTAATGTGTGGTATAGTAATATGTTGGCTTTTTAATGCACACATTAATCAGATCTAGTGGTGAGTCTCTAACTGCACTGTACTTTCAGAGTAGTGAGGACCAAAAACAGCATTCTAAGAGATCTGCAACGACTAACATGATGTGAAAGTATCTGCGATTTCTGTATTTCTGTTGGTGATAGTCACAGAGCGCCGTCACCACTGTGGTGTATTGCCTACATTCATCATTGAAGGAAGTGATAAATTTCAGTTAGAACTTAATGAAAATGAGAACATTTTTTTCCATCCAAGTTTTTTTCCATCACAGACCCCCTGAGCTCGGTCTGCAGGCTTGGACACCAGATTGAGACCCCATTTTAAGGCTGTGCTTCTGGGGCCCTGGACGGAGCCCAGTTCTGTCCTGTGGTGGCATTTTCCCATGAGAATCAGGCTTGGGTGCTTCTGGACTGCGAATGACCCACAGCTGAGTCTGAGCATGTGGTCCTGTCCCCTTCAGCCCCCAGTCCTGTGAGTGCCTGTGGGCTGCGTGGTATATCCTGCCAGAAGTGGACACATGGAGGGGGCAGTTGACACCAGAGGGGCCATGGGAGGGGAGGAAGGAGAAGGCCAGGGAAGAAGGGTGTCATCAGATGCTTTGTGAGAAGGTCAGGGTTCAAACGCAGCACTACAGGGGACTGGTGCTTTTCCCGGTGACACAGGTGACTCTGGCCTGTCTGACCTCCAGGCCAAGCCGGAGGTGATAACGACACTAACAGCAGGTGCTAGTGGGTTGGGCGTTTGTTGCTGGCTGGCTGCTACCCTGGTTGCTTTACACATATTTATTAACTCATTGAATTCTCACCAAAGCCCTCTCAGTGAGGGGATGGCTTTCCTCATCTGTGAGGTGGAGAGCTGATGTACAGAAAAGTGAGAAACTTGCCTCAAGTCTCGCAGCCAGTGCGGGGTGGTGCTAGGATCCAAACCCCAGTATTCTAACTTCGGCCCCTCACCCGGCTTGTTACCATGATGATCCGCTGCCCTCCTGGTTTCCTCTCTGGTAACCACTGATGGAGGAGTGTCCTTCATAGTGCACTTTCCACTTGTCATGACTGACTGCTGCTTGTGGAGTTTAGGGCGATGATGCTAAGCTGGACTTGTAGGCTGTAGCTCCTTTGGGGGCTTACATTCTTACCATTTATTTATTCTGTCTCATTCTATTGCAGAACAGTTCCATGTTGAACTATTGACTGCCCACCATGATTGTAAATTCCTTCACAGCAAAGCTTGGCTTTTATTTTTATTTTTTAATCCTAAACACAGCCTACTTAAGTGCATGGCACAGAGCAGGTGTTTAGTCAACACTGGCTACTTGTCAGGCTGATAGTTGGAGACAAAGATTCTCAACTTCTATTTGAATAAAGACTCCAGCAGTCGTGGCATTCATTTTGCTGCCGTGCATGCAGGAGAAGAGGCACGGGCAGGTGGTTCTCTTCCGGACTGAGCCATCTTATTCTATAGGAATATAAAGGTAGCAATTACAACATTATGACCGGGCAACAGATTACCAAGGAGGGCAGCTAGTAAGATGAGAGGCCTGCTCTTGAAGGTTAAAGTTTACTTTCACAGGATGTGACAATCTCTGAAGTATAGTTATCTCTGTATAAATAACATGCCCGAGAGCAATGCTTGCTTTAATAACAAAATAAAAACGTGTTTTCCCATAAGTCTCCATGCTGAATAAGTGAGTAAAATAGATAAATTTGACTTGATTACACAGACGAGTGAGCCTTTTCTGCAGCTCAGAGATAAGAGGGAGCATTTTCTCCTGTCCTTTTGAGAGGAGGACTGAAGACTAGACCAGTGTGTGACCCCTTCTGAGGCAGGACACCAGAATCCTAGGAATGGGCAGTGCCTTCAAGCCGACCTTTCTGAAGAGGTGCCTGTGACTATTAACTGTCTGTTTCAGAGGCCAGCAGTGGGCTCCCCACCATCTCACCCACTGGTTTGCCACTAGAACTGTGTAATAGCCTGGGGAGGGTAACAATCATATCTGTAAGGGCCCAGGGCCTGCACATTATTGGGGAACACTCCCAAGGGCCTCACAAGTATTCTGGGGCTTCCCCAAATGGCAGCCACCTTGCCCAGCTTGCCCAGATCAGTTTGGAAGATGTTATTTCTCCAAATACCATAAAGCCATCTGCATCTGAAATTGGTTTCATTCAGATGGAGTCTTGAGAAAGCTTCAACACAAGTGCTGCTTTGTAGGGCTAATACGGGGCCTAGCTGAATATGGTTTGCCTCATTGGACTGTTGGGTCAAGACCCCACAAACATATTTGCATATGGAGTGGCATGTTTAATGTTTCTATGGAGTATTTGCTGACATCCTCGAGTAAGCAGTTCTTATAAGTATGAGCAGTTGCCTCCTATCACTGTGGAGTCGGAGCAGCAGAATGTTCACACCAGGCCTCCTCTCCTCTGCTGTGCCCACGTGTTCCCTAGCAGAGACAAAGGGAATGAGAGGTCACAGATTACAAACTCGCGCAGTCTCCTTTACCTGCAGATGGATTCCTGGTAGCCGGGGTCAATGTCACCTCCCCAGCTGGACTCAGTATCATCAGGCACTGGCTCATTACTGCTCTTTTGCCCTAATGCTCAGGACCCCTTCTGGTCTCAGTGGTTTTTGTCTTCTAAATCTTGAGATGTTCCTGAATGAGATAACCACAGCAGCCACAGCCTTGGCTGCTGATTAAGGCTGCGTCCAGCAGCCTCCACTAAAGTGTGTTAGCATTATACTCGGGGAGGAGGGATGTTAGCTAAAATGCAGATTCCTAGGCCCAACCCTAAACCTGTTGATACCAGAACTCAGGAATCAGCATTTTAACAAACTTGGGTGATTCTTCAGTACACTAAAGTGGCTGAAATTGACTCAAAATCTTAAACTTTTAGAGCAGAAGTTTCTCTAGTCTTTCCCCAGAAAGAATTTACTTTTAAGATTCATCAACTCAGTTTAATGAAATAATTCTTCATCCTCCTCTTCTGTTCTCTAGGTGAAGCAGAATATGGAGAATTTAACCGCGTGTGTGAAGTTGCTTAGGATGGCTCATACAGACTTGAAGGGCTTAATGTTTCTCTCTGGGAAGATCCTGGAAGATCAGCCACTTGTCTTTCACAACCTGGCTTATTTGCTTGCTTATTTACAGAATAAGTTGCACTGTTACTGGATTTCTTGGAAGATGTGGTTGCTAGATATTATTTTTTTCATATTTTGAAGCCATTTTCATAGAGACATGTCTTTTATTACAATCAAATAAATTTTGTTCCATCAATTCTGAATAGTTTCCCAACGATGCTCCTTGAAGAGGAGCAGGTCCCAGGGTAGATTGCCCATGGCATTTGAAGGTGCTCGACTGTGTGTTCCATTCCTGGAAGCCGCTGTGCTGGGAGAGGGTGTCGCTCTCCCCCAGCTGCGCCTGCGCCTGAGCCTGAGCCTGTGCAAAGGGCTTGGCTCCTGTTCCGGTTGCCGGAATAAATCTTGCCAAGACGTGAAACACAAATGGAGCTTCCTGCTCATGGTCCATTTGTGTCTGACAGTCCTGGGTATTGTTGATCCAACATAGGGCAAAACTATTTCTTACAAAGAACTTTTATTTTTTTTTCTTTTCAAATCTAAGGTGATAATTACCTACAACAAAAAACTTCATAAAACTTTTCTTGAATTTGATTTCCCCAGCTAAGAGGACACTGTATAATTCTTTTCCTCCACTCAAAACATACACTCATACACATACACGTTATTATTATTATTATATTGCCCCAAAATGGGATTGCAAAAGGAAAAGAAGGAAGAAGGGAGTTCTGTGTGTAAGTTGTTCCGGTGTTCTGTTATGAGCAGAGTTAACTGGACATGGATCCCTTCAGCCAGGGCCAAATTCCCCCTCCCCAGCCTTCTCCATAGCTGCCTTAATAATGCTGCTCCCAGCTGTGACCCCAGGCTTCCTCAACTGCTCTGAGTCCCTAAATGGTTAAATCAGGTGACCTAAATCAGGTCATCAGAGGGAAGAACATGACATTTTTTAAAAAAAATCACATTTCTTCAGAAGAGAAGAAACTATTCAGTTTTATTACCCATATGCATGATTTCAGAAGACGATTTCAGAAGACCAGATTCCTCGTAAAGGGGTGTGTCAGGAATTGAGCTGCTGAACCCTTAAATGGCTAAGAGAAAGGAGATTGAATATGAATTATGATCATTATGCTTATGAACTTATCTGGAATCCAGCAAATAGCTTCTGTTTAAGAAAGATGATTTATGTCAAACTTGGTAAAATAGGTTTGTTATTCAAAGCATCAGTAATTAAAAGCATTATTTTAATGAAATGTGTTGGATTTATTTTCTTAAATGTAGATGTATTTAATATTTATTATGCTTTGGTTCCTTGTCTACTGTCAAAACCCTTTTGTGTTATTTTAGTGTGCTCTTAAATCAACCATGGGCTGTTCCAAAGCTTGAAATGAAGAACTCGACTCTTTCCCATTGGTAAACGGCTCACTGTGTCCCCAAATTTTGGAGATGGCCAGAATGCAGCCTATGTCAAGGGCCTTGCCCCAGGGCCTCAGGTGCCAAGGGACCTTGCGATAGCGTTAGGTGGAGCGCGTCTATCTGGTTTTCTTCTCTTACTCATTTTTTGTGAGTTTTCTTTCCATCATTTGGTGCCCTATAAAAACATCTGTAGTCAGGTAAGATTCAGCCATCACAGAGGAAAGTCAGCCAGTTTGTCACAGCAGGCCCTGCAGGTTCTGTTATAATTCAGTGTGTGGAGTATGTCCCGATCATGTTCTGACTGAACACCAGGGGCACTGTAGACTACTTTTTGTGCAGACACCGGTTTCTTGTACAGCTAAGGGGATCAAGCCCCTAAGAACGACACCATGGACCGGGTTGGGGGTGGATAGTCTCAAGATGACACTGGGGTAGAGGCAGCCCAGCAGGGGTCTCACGCTGCTGCTGATAGGCTTTCATGGATTTATCACTCGCTCCCCCCATGCCATGTGCCTCGGGTCCCCTGGCACCCCACCTCCTGCAGAAGAGGGGCAGAGCCCTGGCCACAACCAGGTAGGGGATGAGTGTCTCAGACGAGACTGGCTTTGGCTCAGAGAGCAAGGCAGGTCCTGGTCAAGAGGAGAGAAAAATAAAAGTAGAAAGGGAATGGCTGAGGAGCTGGAAGCTACAGCCCAGATGGCTGCATTTGGCGGACACTGTCTTGGCCTTGGATCTGTGCTCAACTGGTCAAGGCCATTTGTCTTTACTAAACCATAGCCGATAATCATAGTTTATTGTTTTCTAGTCCAGGTTCAAATTCCTTGCAGGTGTATAGTGGGGTGGGGAAAAATCCTTTATGACATGAGGCAGGGCTCAAGGAAATAAATGCATCAAGATTCTGACCTGAGGTGGTTAATGTCGTGTTTCCCTTCTTAGTAACAGTCACTGAAGATCACAAAGTAATTAAAGAGGAGACTCTACTTTCCTATACTGGGGTGTGTTTTCAGTTTTAACACTGAAGAAAATAATGGTCTACTTCGTGTAAGGCTGGTAGTTCAATATTTTTTAGGGAAATTCCAAACTGTCACTTCAGAACCAGATGCTCTATAAATTTTCATCTGAAAAGACAATTATAACTTAAGTCCTTTTTGGAATTAAGGGAGGTATAAATCAACCAATAAAACTTCAATCTTTTTTCTTTTTTCCTTAGTATTTACTGTAAGACACATATATTTGTGTGGAAAATAAAAAAAGTTTAGAAATTCATAATCTCACCAGCCAGCCTGGCTGCTAATATTTTGATGTGTTTTCTTCCAATCTTTGCTTTCATGAAATGTTTAAACATAATCAAGATCATGCTGTATATTGATTGTGTATCACGGTTCTTGCACTTAATCATAAGCTTATGATGTTACTAGAAACCACTCGTAAGGATGGCTTAGAGTGGCTGCACGATATTTCATCAGATCCATCTGCCTTGGCTACCAAATCATGGCCTGTATGAGGACTCGGTTACTAGTGACAGAAACCCTAGTCAAAGTAGTTTCAGCAAAAAGAGGAGTTCATTGACCTTAAAACATTCCTGCAGAACTCGGTCTTCATCTTCTGGTGCCACTCTCTGATTGCAGCTGGCAGTCTTCGAGCAGAGAGGAAGCATCGTTCCCAGCCAGGAGAGCCAGTCCTGAATAATGACTGTGTCTGGGGATGGGGTGCCCTTGTTGGCCGAGCCTGGGTCCTGTGTCCTTCCTTGCAGTGGGAGGTCCAGCTTGGCACCAGTTAGAACCATAGGGACTGGGAGGGGCTCTCCTAAGAGGAAAGGAGAAGTTAGCTGAAGGGACACGGGACAGGCAGAAGCTAAAGGCTGTTATACTTTCCTCAGCGTTTGAACATTTAAGTTGCTTCTCATTTTTACCTTTTATGAAAGGAATACCTTTATGCATAAAGTATTCTCTACAACTCTGTTTACTTCCTTAGAGAGACTCCCAGCAGTGGAATTCCCAAGCCAAAAGCTGTTGGTACATGTTACAAATTGCTCTTAAGAATTTATATCAATTAGCAGTCCTGCCAGCAGTGTATGGAAGTGCTCACCCAGGGCACTGGATTTGATGGGTAAAAATGGTATTGTGTTATTTTAATAGGCAACTCTTAGGTTACTGGTAACATCGGACATTAAACAACTCAGTAAATACTAGTTGCTTTTCTTTCCTTTGCCTCAAATATCAGTTGGTAACCTATAGGTTGAGTTTTCTTAAAAATAAAAGTTATGATTGTTATAGGACTTAATTTTATAAAATATGCTCATACACAGCATTTTATCTAATCCTTGGAACAAGCCCAAGAAGTAGGTGGGACACATTATTTTCCTTGTTTCAGGGAGGAGCTTGGAGTCCCCAGATGTTAGCCTGGGGAGTTCACACAGCTGCATGTCATAGTTGGTCCTTAAATCTAACTCTGCAAGAATCCAGTGACCCCTCAGCTGCTGGTGACGCACGGGTCCTTTGATGAAATGTCCTGCCCCTTGTATTAAAGGTGTGTAGCAGAGAATGGCAAACGCCACGTGTTAGAAAACCACAGGCTTCCCTGGGCGCACACTGACATCTTTTGGGGCAAGCAATGTGGAGTATGGGAAAGCTTGTGCTCTGCAGCCAGAGGCCGTGTTCACATCCCAGCTCAACCACTTAGCCTGGGACCCTCGGCAAATGCTCTGCAAGAGTGTCGCCTCTGTAAGTCCCCCAGGATCCGCGGCGGTGAGGAGCATTATTTAGTCTCCATCGAGGTGTGGGATAGCCGGAGGCCACGGGTTACGTGGATGGCCAGGCTGTGGAGGAGCGAAGAACCAACCATTTTCTAGGTAACGACGCCCAGGGAGGTCTCGTCTGTCGTGTGTCAGTCACTGGTCTCCACCGTGTGCCAGGTGTGCGCCACGCGGGAGCAAAGCAGAGGCGGGAACCTCGGGTCCCGGGGTGAAACCCGGGGAGAGGCCAGGCCCACCGGGGAGAGCCCGAGAAACTGTAGTTTGACGCGACAGCCGCTAGAGGTCCCTGTGGAGCTGCATTGCACTGCGGATGGAAGGTCTGCCCAGAGCGGACAGTGCTGTCGAATCCTCCATCCTGGGGCCAGACCAGCTGCACCGCTGGAATTCGGGGCCCCTCTTTGTCCCTATAACCACCCTTCCTCCCCCGTAAGCTGGTGACCGTTCTAGGGGACTGGAAAGGTCTAATGCGGGGACCCACTTGTCCCCACGGCTGGGCCCCCTTTAGGCTTGTTCCTGGGGAAGGGAAAGCAGGCCTGTTTGGGGGTCCCCTAGGGCCAGACTGGACTCAGAGAGGACTTCCGTGCCCGCCAGCTCCCCATGCAAGCTCACTCGGTCCTTCCCCTGTGCAAATGACAAAAAGGCGATCTGCACGAAGTCAGAGCCCCTCCTGCGCCATCAGACCGGGAAGAGCCCTGCAAACCCAGCCAGATGCTGGCGTGGAAGCCTGGACACGGCCGTCATTGCGCCTGCGCCCTGGGTGCGCGTGGCTGGCCTGCAAGGGGTTGCGGAATGCCAGCGCCTAGGACGTGGCCAGGAGGCGGCACACACATGACCCCTGCCTCACCCGGGGGAGTTAAGAGCTGGCAGGGAAGGGGGCAAAGGAGAGGCAGGAATAATTGTACTTAAATATAACGTCTAGCTAGAAGACAACTGGGGGGCGGGGGGGGGGGGAGCGGCATTAGCTCAGCCCTTGCATCTTTTTTAAGAGAAAGAGAAGAGAGGTACTTTTTTTATGCTTCAATTACAAATACAAATAAAGGCAACTACTTTTTATCTAACAAGTATTTACTGAGCTTCAAGTATGCACAAGGCACTGTGCCAGGTCTCGGGGGACTGGGCAGCTCTCCAAGAGCTGCTTTTTTGATGGAGGAACCCACAGTATCCCTATTTCTCAGCCTATTTTTCAGTCTCAAGTAATAAAAATTCCACCTAAATATTCAGCCCCTTCATATTATAGCTGAGGACACTGAGGCCCAGAGAGGGAAAGTGATTTGGTCAACGTCACACAGCAAGTTCCAGACAAAGCTGGGAGCAGATCCTAGGTCTATGCATTCCTGCAGCAGCAGGTCTCCATGACACACACTGATGCGAAGACCATAAGGCATGGCAGAGAGGGGAAACTTATTAAGAATATCCATGGCTTAGCGTGTAGATGCAAACTGGGCTCTCGGATGCCCTGGCATCTCACGTTTGAAGCTTACTCATT